AATCACTTTTCTTCAAGCATCCATCCAACACCGTGTTCTGTCACACACAGAGAACATGACTGAAGAGCGAAGCAGCGGTGCTGCTACCACATTTTTAACAGGGTTATGTTGAACAAACAACTTTAATAGGCAGAGATGAGGGAGACAAATTTAAATTTGTCTATCAAAATTGTTAAACATTTGGGACTTCTCAGGAGTGAATTTTTTCTGGTTAGTCTATTGATGTGGAAAGCTGAACTATTTGAAACATCTTTGTCTATTATGAGGTTTAAAAAGAAACACTTTTGGGGCTGGGAAGGTGGCTCAGTGGTAGAGCGCTTGCCTTGCATGCATGAGGTCCTGGGTTCGATTCCTCAGCACCACATAGGCGAAAAAAAAAAAGCCAGAAGTGGCCCCACGACCAGACCCAAAAAAAAAAAAAAAGAAAATTTAAAATAAAACGCTTTTGCTGTATAACCTGTGTTCCTAACCCCCTATTTAAAACATTGTTTCAGTCAGGTTTAATTCTAGCTACTTAGCAGGCTGAGACTTAGAGGATCACATCTCAAATCCAACCCAGATGGAATCCTACAGATTCCCATCTTAATACTGGCACACTCACAAAATTAAAAAGAATTCTATTCACAAAAATAAAGAAATAACAAATACAGAGACCCACTAATGAGGATACAACTTATTGATCCTCTGTTAAGAAACTATAGTGTGCTGGGCACCAGTAGCTCAAGCCTATAATCCTAGCTACTTAGGAGGCTGAGATCTGAAGAGTTAAAAGCAGTTAAAAGCCAGCCCAGGAGCCTGGTGCCGGTGGCTCACACTTGTAATCCTAACTACTCAGGAGGCTGAGATCTAATGATCAAGGTTCAAAGCTAGCCCAGGCAGGGAAGTCTGTGAGACTCATCTCCAATGAAGTACCAGAAAACCAGAAGAGTGGCTGTGGTTCAAAGTGGTAGAACTCTAGGCTTGAGTGAAAAAGCTCAGGGACAGCGCCAGGCCCTGAGTTCAAGCTCTACCATGGAAAGGAAAGGAAAGAAGGGGAAAGGGAAGGAAAGGAGAGAGAAACTGTAGTCTGTTGACACAATGAAATAGCATGTAGTTACAAATAAATGACCCAGCTAAGAAAAAATACATAACTAAGGAAAGTGGGTTACAGGACTATATGTGTATACTTCGTACAACTTCATAGTCACATTGCTTGTGTCATATACAATTGTGAAAGACTTTAGGTAGATGTAAAAACATTATACAAGGTTAATGTTCACTGTTTGTCTTTTGGAATTCACTTCAAAATGTTTAACAATAGCCCGACTGCTTGCTGGTACAATGCCCAAGCATGGATGTGTGAAATTCTAAAATTCAAATTATAAGGGAGCTGTTGGAAACTTAGAACATAGTGGTTCACAGGAGCCAAATTACACTTTATTTTTATATTTATTTAATTTTACTTTGAGGCTGCTATTGGGGCTTGTATTCAGGGCTTCATGCTTTCCCTCACCTTGCTGGTTCATGACTGATGAGCAGACTGGCTCCAAAATGAAAGCCTCTAACCTTAGCTTCCTGAGTATCTAGTATTACAGGCCACCAGCATTAAGCTATAATGTGTGTGTGTGTGTGTGTGTGTGCGCGTGCGCGTGCATTAATGCACCCCAGTATTGAGACTTAAACTCAGGGCCTGGGTGCTGACCCTTAGCTCCCCCCCTACCCTCCTCCCACTCAAAGCTAGTACTCTACCACTTGAGCCACAGCTCCACTTCTGGCTTTTTGGTAGTTAATTGGAGATAAAAGTCTCACAGACTTTCCTGTCTGAGATGGCTTCAAACCATGATCCCCAGTTCTCAGCCTCCTGAGTAGTTAGGATTACAGTTGTGAACCATGAGTGTGTATATGTGTGTGTGTGTATCTCTCTCTCTTTCCCCCTCTCTATATATGTATATATACATAAATGTATATATGTAAGTATATATATATATTTATATATATATACATACTTTATATAAAAATTGAAAGTTGGAAGTAAGGCCTACCTTTAATGCTTTTTCCCACTGGTAATAAGGTAGCCCTTGATTCACAGGTGTAGATAGTGTGTTTTGAGCGTGTCTGGGAGTGTTCTTCCCAGTGAATTAGGCTGCTGTGTTCTTTCTCCCAGAATTCTCTGCAGATTGACCTATATAGGGGTTACCTTGCCTTATTTCTGGAAAATTGGTTACAGTTATGGTGAAAAGATAGTGCTTTCCTTCTGTGACACTTCTTTTTTTTCCCCCCACAGCATTTCACTATTTGTAGCTTGTTGTCTGCATTCTGACTGGGCTCGCTTGGATTCTGTTCACCATGCCAACAGTGGTGGTGATGGACGTGTCCCTCTCCATGACTCAGCCTGTGTCAATCGAGGGGTCTGAGGAATACCAGCGGAAGCACCTTGCAGCCCATGGGTTGACAATGCTGTTTGAGCACATGGCCACAAACTATAAGCTTGAATTCACAGCATTAGTGGTTTTCTCATCGCTTTGGGAGCTGATGGTCCGCTTCACAAGAGATTATAACACCCTGCAGGTACAAAAAGGAATAAAGACCCAAGTTGATTGGAAAGAAAGCAGTATGATAAGAGTGTACTGATTTTTGACCTTAGAATTATTTAATAATAAATATACAGGCACTTAATATGCACAGCTATAAAGCATAATTCATAACCAATAGGTCCTAGCCTTTCTTTTGTAAAGCTATGAGGTAGAGAAAGAGGTCATGGGGGCTGGGAAGGTGGCTGACTGGTAAAGTGCTTGCCTCCCATTCATGAGGCCCTGGATTCGATTCCTCAGCACCACATAGGCAGAGAAAGGTCATGGTCCATTTTCTGGAATTCTTAGGAAAGGTGAAGATTTCAGCATACCATGCTTCAGTCCCTAGATTCAACGTTTTTGCCATTCTGCTCTTTTCTACTTTCTCATAAAATTTTAAGGTAATGAAAAATAGCCCTTATTAAAACACACACACACACACAAAAACTTCTTCTAGAAAGTTCAGAATGATGCTTACTCTCCAACAGATAGTATTCATTTGTAGATGCCAAGATATTATTTTTTTCTTTTTTTTCTTTTTTTCCATCCTGGGCGTTATCCTTGAAATTTTTGCTCAAGGTTGGCACTCTACCACTTGAGCCATAGCTCCACTTCCAACATTTTTGTGGTTGATTGAGATAAGAGTGTCATGGACTTTCCTGCCCAAGGTGGCATCAAATGTCATTAGATCTCAGCCTCCTGAGTAGCTAGGATTACAGGTATGAGCTACTAGTACCCAGCTCAATGTTGTCATTTGAAAATCTTAATAGGTATTGTCTTTCAAAGATATTTTTCTCAGATAAGCCAGATGTCTTTATTTTTTTTTCAAATTCTTTATTGTGATTAAGTGATTACATAATTTCCCAAATTTCACTGTATTGCCAGATAGTGATGCTTAGTTAAAATCACAAACACATTCTAATTTCATGGGGCAAATTGTCTGTCGTGATCTGTAATATTTATGAGTTCTATGAGCTAGCCAGATGTCTTTAAAACATTAATATCTCCTATAGTTCTTAGCACAGTGTCTTGGCCAGTGAGTAGACAATAAGTGTTTCTGAAATTAAACTGAGGAATTAAATAATTGTTGGGCAATTTGGAAATGCAGGATTGATGTAGTTTGAATTCTTAGTAATTTTTTTTTTGTTGTCAGTCGTGGGCCTTGAACTCTGGGCCTGAGCACTGTCCCTCAGTTCTTCAGCTCAAGGCTAGTGCTCTACCACTTGAGCTACAGGCCCTCTTCCAGTTTTCTGGTGGTTTATTGGAGATAAGAGTTTCATGGACTTTCCTGACCCTGCTGGCTTTGAACGCCAGTCCTCAGATCTCAGCCTCCTGAGTAGCTAGGATTATAGGCATGAGCCACTGGTGCCCGGCTGAATTCTTACTAATTTTTATTAAATCTTTCCTTTTATTATGTTGCATCTTTATGAGACTTAAATTTTTTTTAATTGTACTGGTGCACTCTTTTGGTGGTACTGAGTCTTGATTCAGGACCTCATGCTTGGTATAGATGCTCTACCACATGAGTCATACTTCCAACCCTTTTTTGTACTGGGTATTTTCAGATTATAGTCTCAGTTTATGCCCTGGATGGTTTGGGCTTTGATCCTTCCACTTGTGCTTCCCCATGTCAGTGGGGATAACAGGTGTGTGCTACCACACCTAGTCTTTGGCTGAAATAGAGTCTTGTGAATTTTCTCCCCAGGCCAGCCTCTTAACAGCAATTTCCCAATCTCTGCCTCTCAAATAGCTAGGATTACGGGCGTAAGCCACCCCACTCTGTTCATACTGATTTTCTTATAAGTTATATAGCTAAAGATTTTTTTGGTGTTTAGCAGTTTTAAAATTTAGAGAATTGCAATGTAATGAATGAGGTGTAAGAGGTAAAAGCAGAAGCTCTGGAGTCAGGCCACTTCTTAAAATTTTCCTCATTTATGGCTGGGAAGGTGGCTCATTGGTAGAGCGCATGCCTTGCATGCCAGGGGCCCTGGGTTCGATTCCTCAGCACCACATAAGCAAAAAGAAAAAAGCTGGAAGTGGCGCTGTGGCTCATGTGGGAGAGCTTTAGCCTTGAGCTGAAGAGCTGAGGGACATCGCCCAGGCCCAGAGTTCAGGCCCCATGACCGGACCCCCCCAAAAAAATTCCTCATTTAAAAGTGGGGTGAACAATGGTAGGATGATTAAATCCTTGTAAAGTGCACAGAATGGTGTTTAGGAGATTATGGTTAATGGTCCATACATTTTGGTCATTACTTTAAGCTTATTTCATTGTCCTTTACAGTTGAGGAAGTCTGCTTTGCTGTGTTTGGGTGTGTGTGTGTTTGGGTATGTGTGTGTGTGTGTGTGTGTGTGTGTGTGTGTGTGTTTTCTGGAACCTATGCTTTGGGGCTTACAGAAACTCAGTGTTCGCTGTATGATAATCAGACTTCGTACAGTTTATATTGGTTTCTAATAAGAAAACAGCAGAGAATAATGAGCAATTTTTTTCTCGCCCAATAAGGAAGCACTGAGTAACATGGACGATTATGACAAGACATGCCTAGAGTCCGCACTGGTTGGTGTCTGTAAACATTGTTCAGCAAGAATGGGGTGGTGCAATCCCTTGCCAGGTAATGCTTAGTGTTTTTCAATGTCCTTAGTTAATATCATTAACAAGCCAGGCACTAGTGGTTCACACCTGTAACCCTAGCTACTAAGGAGGCTGAAATCCAAGGATTGCTGGTCAAAGCCAGCCCAGGCAGGAAAGTATATGAGACTCTTATCTCCAGTTAACTAAAAAAGAAAAAAAAAAGTAGAGTTATGACTCAAGTGGTAGAGTGCTAGCCTTGAGCAAAAGAAGCTCAGGGACAGTGCACAGGGTCTGAGTTCAAGCTCCAGGACTGGCACCAAAAGAAAGAAAAGGGAAGAGAAAATATAGACCCCCAAACTGGCCTGTAAATCTTAGGTATTCAAGAGGCTGAGATCTGAGGATCTCAGTTTGAAGCTAGCTGAGGCTAGAAAGTCCATGAGACACGTCTCCAGTTAACTAGCAAAAAGCCAGATGTGGAGCTGTGGCTCAAGTGATGGAGCACTAGCCTTGAATGAAAAAGCTAAAAAAGGGCTAGGGAATGTGGTTTAGTGGTAGAGTGCTTGCCTAGCATGCATGAAGCCCTGGGGACGATTCCTCAATACCACATCAACAGAAAAAGCCAGAAGTGGTGCTGTGGCTCAAGTGGTAGAGTGCTAGGCTTGAGCACAGAGAGACTCAGGGACAACACCCAGACCCTGAGGTTAAGCTACTAGGAGTGCATGTACACATGCATGAGCACATGTGCAAAACATACAAATCATTAACCACTGTAGTGTTGATTTTCCTCAGGCTCTAACCGCCTACGTTATAACTCCACAAACTACATTTTACACTATTTGTAGTTTTTAAAGAAGGCATTAAATCACTGTAATCGTATCACACCAATTTAAGTCATACTAATGTGTTCAGAAAGCAGACCTATGCCTCGAGGAAAGTATTTTCCTGGTAAATTGATGTACTGAAAATTTATCTTGTTTATATAAAGACAAAGGGCTCACAGTAGAAGGACGGATTATAATTTTGTGTGGTAGAATTGTAAACACGGAACAATAGTGTCTATTCTTCATTATCTCAGTGTAGCAGTTATTCAGCAAATTTCTAACCATCTCAACTGAGTTGTCTAAAAAGTGAAGAGAATCATAAAGACTTGCGCTTGTGGGACATCAGTGGCTCACGCCTGTAATCCTAGCTACTCAGAAGACTAGGATTTGAGGATCTCCATTCAAAGCCAACCCAGGCAGGAAAGAGGAAACTCTCATCTCCAGTGAAACACTAAAAAGTTGGTAGTAGAGTTGTGGGCCAAATGGGAGAGTGCTAGCCTTGAGCAGAAAAAGCTAAGGGACAGTACCCAGGCCCTGAGTTCAAGCTCTAGTACCTGCATTTTTGTTTTAAATGCACAAATTCAAAATACATGGTTTGGTCTTGTCTATGAGGATGGATGTTAAGGAGAGCAGAGAGAGAGAGAAAGAATGGTGGACAAAAACAGTCATAATATTCAATGTACATACTGAAACTGGGACTAGAAAACTTCAGATGGATAAGTTTGGAGTACATGGAAAAATGATAGAAAGATTGACACTGATCAAAGTGTATTCTACATATCAATTGAGGTTGAGTTAAAACCCTGTGGTGTAACTAGTTAAAGATAATTTTAGCTGGGGGCTAGTGGCTAACATGTATAATCCAAGTTACTTAAAAGGCTGAGATCTGAGGATCAAGGTTCAAAGTCAGCCCAGCAAGAAAGTCTATGAGGCTCTTATCTCTAATTAACCACCAGAAAACCAGAAGTGGAATTGTGACTCAAAGTGGTAGAGTGCTAGCCTTGAGCAAAGTGGTAGATTGCTAGCCTTGAGCAAAAAGAACTCCGGGATAGTACCCAGGCCCTGAGTTCAGGTACCATGACTGACAAGGGAAAAAAAAAGATAATTAAAAAAAAATAAGCCAGGCATCAGGGGCTCATGCTTGTAATTCTACCTACTCGAGAGGCAGAGATCTGAAGATCATGGTTTGATGCTAGCCTGGGCAGGAAAGTCTGTGAGACTTTTATCTCCAGCTAACCAGTAAAAAGGCAAAAGTAGAGGTGTGGCTCTAGTGGAAGAACACCAGTCTTGAGCGAAATAGTTCACAAGTAGAGCCCAGGCCCTGAGTTCAAGCCCCAAGACCGGCACATAAACAAACAAATAAATCACACAGCTTGCTAGATTTTCACAAATGGAAGCATGTATGTATATCCTTACTACAAGTAAGACCTAGAACATACCCATCACCCCACAAAGCTCCCTGCACATTCCTGTAGCAGTGAAAGCAAACCTGGGTGGAGCTGTTGGGCATGTGGCTTAATGGATACTTGTCCTCTGCACACAGGTCGTTCTGGTGACGGACGGCTGTCTCGGCATTGGTAGAGGGTCCCTGCGACATTCCCTAGCAACACACAATCAAAGGAGCGACAGCAACAGGTTCCCGCTGCCTTTCCCTTTCCCGTCTAAGTTATACATCATGTGCATGGCAAACCTGGAAGAGGTAATGCCTTCTGCTAACTGCTTTTTAGATGGGTTAGGTAAATCCCAGGGCTTGGTTTATTTGTCAATATATTCAATGAACACTCTTGCGTACAGTATAACATTTAGATTTGAAAAGAGTTGATTTCACATGCTCTTTGACATAACAACACTCACCTCTACGAGAGTATAGCTGGAGATGCCCATTCTGCTGATGACCATGAAGGGTTGAGATGTTCTTTTTTTCTGTCCATTCCTCCAGAAATGTTGACAGAGGTATATTTTAGGGTTTTTTTTGTTTGGGGGGGGGTCTTTTTTGGGAAGGGGGGAACATAGGTGTTTTTGTTTGTTTGTTGTGGTGCTGGTATTGGGGCTTAAAATCAAAGCCTGGATGCTGTCCCTGAGCTTTTTGCTGAAGACTAGCACTCTACCATTTTGAGCCACAGCTCCACTTCTGGCTTTTTTGGTAGTTTAGTGGAGCTGAAGATCTCACAGATTTTACTACTCAGGCTTGGCTTCAAACTGCCATCCTCAGCTCTCAACCTCCTGAGTAGCTAGGATTACAGGCATGAGCCACCAGCACCTGGCTTCTGATGTGTTTTATTCAGTACTTCCTGCTTTTCCCATTGAGTCAGGAATTATTTCACTTAACCTCAGTTTTTCTCTCTATCAAATGCTGACAATTGATGGCTCTTGCCAAACCATGTCAGGGAACAGGTTGTAGGGAAGATGCTGTATGGCTACTAACTGTGGTCTCCTGAGAATCTTCAGAACTACTTATGAATGAAGTACCTCTTGTAACCTTGAGGCAGATTGCAATAGTTGAGGTAAGAAGGTCCATGAGACTCAGTATCTCCACTAAACTATAAAACATCTGGAAGTGGAGTTGTGGCTCAAGTGGTAGAGTGCTAGCCTTGAGCACAAATCTCAAGGACAGCACCTAGGCTCTGGAATTGAGCCCAGGAACTGGCACACACACAGAACAATTGTGTTATTTCCTTCTTTATTTGTATTTTTTTTTGCGGGGGTAGGGTCCGGTCATGGGGCCTAAACTCTGGGCCTGGGCGCTGTCCCTCAGCTCTTCAGCTCAAGGCTAGCGCTCTACCACTTGAGCCACAGCACCACTTCTGGCTTTTTTCTTTTTGCTTATGTGGTGCTGAGGAATTGAACCCAGGGCCTCATGCATGCAAGGCAAGCGCTCTACCACTGAGCCACCTTCCCAGCCCCTGTAGTTACTTGCTTCTGATATTGACTGTTAAGAAAATTATCTCATGGACTCAACACCTGTAATCCTAGCTACTCGGGAGGCTGAGATCTGAAGATCATGGTTCAAAGCCAGCCTGGGCAGGAAAGTCCGTGAGACTCTTATCTACCAAAACTACCAAAAAAGCTGGATGTGGAGCTGTGGCTCCACTTGAGACTTGAGTCTTGAGACTCTTATCTCCAAATAAATGCACACTTCTAATCAATCAGCACTACTGGGAAGACAGACATGAGGAACTTGAAATTGAATGCCAGCCGGAGGCCAAAACTCAACAGTTGGTCTGAAAAATAATTGTAAACAAAGAGCCCAGGACAAGGCCCAAGTCACAGAATACCTGCGTACTAAAATATTTTTGGGCAAAATGCTTATATAACATTGATTATCAATATATAAATATATAGTTGTGTGTACATATACCATTGACTAAAAATAGATTAATATATATTTGAGTGTGTTTGTGTGTGTGTGTGTGTGTATCTATAAAGTGAACATAAGGAAATTCAGCAAACTCTGTATGAAAAAGGTGATGTGAGCTAGCCATCTGAGGCAGAGGCCTGTGATCTTTGTGATTTAGGAATCTTGGTTCTGAGTTTCAGGGACTCTTAACCCCAGGGCCTTAGATTTTCAGACGAGGCCTCAGCCTCTCTGGAGCCGCACATGGACATGCGCAGTGGGAGAACAGCTGGTGCGCATGCTCAGACTGGCAATCTAGCCCCTGTGGGACCGCCATTGCAGCTTCTAGGAGAGACAGGGGTCTGGAGCAGAGAAGTTGGCGCTGAGGTCCTGTCCTGGGGGGAGCGATGAGGAAGGGCAGCCGTGGGGAAGGGAGGCCTGTCAGGAAACCCCGCAAGGCCTTGTGTGCAGCGGGAACTTGTGGACGTCCTTTCTGGGGCTCGGGCCTGGCTGTGCCGCCCCGCGCGGCCTCCGCGGTCTTTGGGCGCCTGGCTCCGCCATGGTTGCTGTCAGGCCGGGCAGCGCATCCTCCCGTGCCTTGCCCGGCGTGGAGCCTGCAGGACGGCCAGACCCCAGCACACGGGGTGCAGGAAGCAGTGGGGTTTGCGCAGGTGTGCTGCTGAGAGGAAGGGCGGCGGGCTTTGTCTGAGGTGAGTCCCTTAGGTGTCTGGCTGGTCTGGAGGGGACACGGAGGTTTGGAGGAACGGCTTCCCTGGGGTCCGGGGAGTGTTTCAGGGTGATGGTGGGTGTATTCCCAGTAAGGGTCATCGAATGCCTTAGCTTTCCCTCCTTGTTATGTCCTCCTGTAATGTGTGTGTGCCAGTCCTGGGACTTGAACTCAAGGCCTTGGTGTCCTCCCTGACTCTCCCCCCTCCTTTCCCCTCCTCAGGGCTGCCACTCTACCACTTGGATCACAGTTCTTCCTCCAGATTTCTGTTGGGTTTCTGTAGATAGAAGCCTTAGAGGCTTTGCTGCCCGAGCCGGCTCTTTAGCCTGACTGTGCAGTTGTGGATGAGAGTGAGCTGGAAGGAAGGGAGCCGGGACCATTGAGCTGGTGGGAAGATGTTCGTTTCATGGGGCTTCACCGCGGTTTGAGAACATTAGTCCGGGTGAGCCGTGTAAGGTAAGCCCATCATATGTGTTGGTGTGCTGGGAATGGCTTCTCAGAGGTTCAGGTTTGATATTGGGGTGACTGGGCTGGGTGCCAGAGTGAGTTGAATAAACAAAAACAAATACCGGGATTGAAAATCCTAGTGAATTTGTAATATGAAACTAACAAAAGTGTACCAACAACAACAAAAAAAAATGATGCTATGCAAAATGAATGTCAAGATATGGACACAAGGGGTTTTTCTTTGTTGTTGTTTTTAATGTACCATGGGATTATATTCTTTGTTTTCTTTGCATGGTACATCCCTGTTGTCACTGTATTTGATTTTGGTACCTTGCATCTTGTATATACGTTTATCTAATATCAGGAGTGATAGGGATATAACAAATTGACCCATTGGGGGCTGGGAATGTGGCTCAGTGGCAGAGCGCTTGCTTTGCATCCATGATGCCCTGGTTTCAATTTGTCAGCAACACATCAGCAAAAAGAAAAAAGCCGAAAGTGGCGCTGTGGCTCAAGTGGTAGAGCACTAGTCTTGAGCTGCAGAGCTGAGGGACAGCACCCAGGCCCAGAGTTCAGGCCCCATGACCAGACCACTCCCCTCCCCCCCCAAAAAAAAAACCCCAAAAAACACATTTACCCATTGTAACCATGAGACTCACAAGACACTAGGTTGGAAATGAACTTATATTCGAAATAAAACTGCTTTTTAAAAAAAAATGAGTTTTGTTTTTTTTCATCCAGGGATTTGAGCTGAAGGACTGGGTGCTGTCTTGGAGTGTTTTTGCTCAAGGTTAGGGCTCCATCACTTTTCCCATAGATCACTTCCAGTTTTCTTGATAGTCAATTGGAAGTCAGAGACTCATAGTCTTTCTGCCTGAACTGGCTCTAAACTGAGTTTCTGAGTTCCTTGGCTCTTAAATAAATATGATTAAAGCCCTGACCCAATGGCACCTTACAAAATGGTTTTTTTTTTCATTTCCTAAAATTTTGAGCTTTTGGTAAATTAGGCATTTCTGGGCCCTGGTGCCTAATTTCTATAATAGTAGCTACTCGCAAGGCAGAGATCTGAGAATTATGGTTCCAAGCCAGCCTGGGCAGGAAAGTCCATGAGACACTTATCTCCAGAACAACATCAGAAACCTAGAAGTGGTGCTGGGGCTCAATTGGTAGAGATGTTGCCTTGAGCACAGAGACACTCAGTAATAAATCCCAGGCCCTGAGTTCAAGCCCCAGGACTGGTGGACAAACAGACCTAAACAAACACAAAACCCAGACCAATTTGTGTTTGTGCCAGTGTTGGGGCTTGAATTCAGAGAATGGAGGCTATCACTGAGCATTTTTGCCCATGGTTAATGCTCTACCACTTGATCCACTGCAGCACTTGTGGGTTTTGGTGGTTAATTGGACATGAGAGTCCATGGACTTTCCAGTCCTGATTGGCTTCCAATTTCATTCCTTAGATCTCAGCCTACTAAGTGTCCTGGATTAAAGATCTGAGCCACCACCAACTAGGTGGCTAGTAAGTTTTTTTTGTCATTTGTGGGAGCTGATCTCTGTGCCTGGGCGATGTCCCTCAATGTCCTTCCACTTGAGGCACAGCACCACTTCCGGCTTTTTTTGCTCATGTGATTCTGAGTAATCAAACCAGGGCCTCATGCATGCAAGGCAAGCGCTCTACCACTGAGCCAACTTCTCAGCCCTAGTACTACATTTTTAACATGTAAGATATTATGCTCCGTGTGCTTGTGTACTAAAGTCTCTGAAAAATTCTCTTGGAAATACACAACACCAAACCAAAAATTCCCCTACACTGTACTGTTCATTCAGTCATTTCACAATATTGTTGGTGACATATTTTAAAACTATTAGCACATATTAACTCTACAAAGGTATTTTAGTGGCAAAGGTATGTAATTCCAGCTTTGCAAGAGGCTGCAATCACAGGACTTCACAGCCTAGCTGGGCAGAGGAGCCCATGAGACTGTGTCTCCAGTTAAGCAGCCAAAAATTCTGGACTGCAGCCATGGTAAAGCACCACTCCCCTGAAACATCCAAGTGAGAGGACAAGCCCTGAACTCAAGCCCCAGTGCCCACACTTACATAATACATACACACACACACACACTCTCTCTCTCTCTCTCTCTCTCCTGATGAAGGATGATGTTGTTAGTTTCATTTTATTTTCTTTCCACACAATTTGTGTTATTTTATCACATTTTAATGTTTTCAGCTGTGTAAGTTACCCGCAGCAGCATTTTTCAATGCACAGGCTATGGCATCACTGTTGTTTGTAACATGTCTGTGATTTCTTGTTTCCCAGTTACTGTCTTCATGACATTACAGGTTTTCATGCTGATTCATGCTTATTGT